GTGTCTATATATATATATATATATATATATATATATATATATATATACAGTATATGGGTCAATGGCCATGGGTCAACATTATTTTTAAGACAGGGCTCAGTGAAGGGAGAATCAAATGGTTTTTGTTGTGTAATTGAGCATTATGTGAATATTTTCCCAGGTGAGTTCACATGAGTCCTGGCCCTGCAGACCCTGCTCATGTGACCTGAGAGGTTCACTGCACTCTTCATGCATCCCAGACGAGAGTCAGGCCACCGCAGGTACAACACAACACAAGATCTGGCAGTAGCCCTGTTTACACCTAATAAATGTTTTTGGTGATTGGATCACTGAAATAGCATGTGGAGGTCGTTAGAAGCACATGCCCACATTGCACTGTAGTGTAAACCAGTGGTTCCCAACCCTGGTCCTGGAGGCACCCCAACACTGCACATTTTGCATATCTCCTTTCTCTGACACACCAATTTCAGGTCTTGAAGTCTCTACTAATGAGCTGATGACCTGAATCAGTTGTGTTTGATTAAGGAGACATGCAAAACGTGCAGTGTTGGGGTGCCTCCAGGACCAGGATTGGGAACCACTGGTGTAAACATTCATCCTTTCTGAATGCATCAGATGGAAGATGGAATAAAATGTGCCAGTGGCTTGGTTAGTAATGATAGTGAGATGGTTTTGTTGAAAAATCTGTTATAGAATTCAAATATACTAGCAAAAATATACCTACCATTTAAAGAAAACGCTTTAAGAAAAAAGAAAGCAAGGGAAGAAAGTAAGGAGTGACATATTTTCCTGCAGCCTTGATAGTTGGACCTTGAAAAATGTTGAAAATTGTTTCACTGCAAATATTCTGAATATTTAACCTTTTCTGGGTCATTAAAAATATGTTAATAACAGTGAGCAAAATAAGTTTCTAGGATGGTATTCATTGTAAATTTGTTGTTAATGTATAATTTATGCATACTATTTTATTTTTATTCAAAATGTAAATCGTTGAGTTTCACGCAGACGTGGCAAAGCAAGCTGTCACTGGACCACTTTTAGTTTGTACAAGTCATATTTCCATTCATGTATGTTATAGATGATCTTACCATTTTAGAAGATAAAGTAGCAGACCGCCTAAAATATGATTAGGTGAATTGGTTTTACCTCACTTTCATTTACCTTTGCCAAATGGAAAAATTCTTTAAAAAATTATCACAACTTAACCCACTCGCTTGTCACTCTCTGTTCTTTTCACTTTTTGAGGATGTTTTATGGGACTAATTTGTGTGCATTGCACAATTTATAAATAGGCATTTGAAACTGCACTGGTTTCCACAGGATGTTTTTTTTAGGTAATTCTGGTAAAAATGTATTAGTGTTTTTAAAGCATGTTTTATTTTGCATTGATAGTATTGACATTTGTTTTTGTGTGTTTGAGTGAAAGTGTTCTGTGTGTGTGTTGAGCAGGAGCTCAGGCTGTAATGGTGTGTGTTCTTGTCTCTGCAGGTTTGGCAGTGGGCTTGTGCATCTGTAAGCAGGGATACGCAGGTGAGAAGTGTGACAGGTGTGCGTTTGGATACACAGGATTCCCTCTGTGTGAGCGATGCAACTGCAGCAGTGAAGGCAGCGTTAACCAGGATCCCTGCCAGCCGCCCTGTGTGTGTAAGGTACGACACGTGTTACCACATTAACACTGGCCTCCCACTGCTTATACAGTCATGATCACTACACTCACTGCTACAACAATACCACTACGACAAAATAGTACTATACTTTGTCTAATTTGATTATTTGATGTTTACTTGGAATAGATACTTGTGCACCTATTATATTATTATTATTATCTTTTTTTCCTTTGTTGCCCATGTGGTCAAAAAGTAAAAATTTGCACTTAGGTAAAACATTATGTCATAACTTTTGCATCATGTGTTCTAGAAATGTGCCCCCCCCCCCCCCCCCTTTGGTCAATTTAAAGAAGCATTTCTTACAGTACTTCTCTCACAAAATTTGCCTCACAAAATTAATTGATTAGATTTTTGATTTTCTGAGAAATGGCTTCATGGAGGTCAGTGCGATTCCACGGGTGTGTAGGTTGGGGTCATGATGTTTAGATATTTATGGATGCCAATCTGTGTTTCTGAAATCTGCTGTTCACAGGATGCTTTCAGAGTTTATCCCGCATCGGCCAATTACAGAGAGTGGTTTCTAGAGCAACCGTGCAGGATGCACTTTGACACTGGTTAGGTTAATTATTGAGATGCAGAAGATCACGCATACACAGTTTGTGGGAAGTACAGAGAACCTGCAGCATTAATGATTTAACAAGCAACTCGTCCTAAAGTCCAGCACAGAGTTAACTACACTCGGTGATCAATTACCTCAGTGACGAGGATCTTCATTTAGCTGACAAAGCCAGATATTTGATTCTCGTGAACAGCTGCATTGAGCAGTCTGATATTTGTGTATAACAAGTGCCATATTTAAAACGTAATAATCACTTTAATCTAGCTTGCGCCAACAGTTGTACACAGAAGAGGCTCCGGGCGGATGACGTAAGACGTCGGCGTTGCGCATGCGCCGCTCAGAAGTGACGCCGCAGTGGAGAGATCAAAACAAAACAACGGTCACGAATTAGAAGTACAAAACGAGGATTTGTAAAGAAGAATGTCGGAGGATTTCGATATAAGCCAAGAGGAGACTGGTTTTCCTTTGCTAAAGTAAGGAAACTTTGCTTCCTTTGCTCCTGTAAACAAACGTTTTGTTTTTTTTTTCTCAGAAAGGCGTATTGACAGCTGAACTATTGTTATGTTGCTTAGTACAGTCCATTAAACACTTCAGTCCCTCACAGCCTCATTTTCATTACAGTCAAAAATTAAATCTGGCGCAAAGGTCTGTGGCAGCATTAGCTTTCTACAGACTGCTCATCCTGAATAAGACAACCAATTAAGCAGAAAGGCACTGAATCAGAAAGGCCACCGTTCAGGTTGTAAGGAATCTCACACAAGCTTGTGGTGAAATATCCTCAATAAATGGAAATGAAAACAGTCTTTTACATGCTCCAGAAGAAATTCTTCAAGATATTCTAAGATGAACACAGAAAACTGTCAGCTTTGTTATCTCTGGCCGGTTCAGGTGTGCCATATTCATATGTACTAACTAATTGTTCAGTGGATGCTGTCACGGCCAAGACTGAGAGGAAATGGTTGGAAAGGGACTTTTTGCAAAACGGCACAGAGGAGACCGGTTAGCACATGTACCATCTTATGTGATGAGGATACTTAAAGACTGACAGATGACATCAGCTTGCATGAACAATGCAGGTCCAAAAAGGACAATGTGCTTCAACAAAAAGCACCATGAAGGAACTAAATGATTTGTTTCAGTAAGAAGAGGCCTTTAGATCTGGTCTTAGTTTAACTTTGAGAGGTGAGATAATCTGATCCAGGATCAATGAAGTCTGGAGATCAATTGTACCAGTCTTGTAAGCTGTTGCAGGGGAGCTAGATGAATATATATCTGAATCACAAGAAACAGACCCTCAGAAGTTTGGCTGAAAGGGCTTCTGCAGAAAGTCTGCTTTACATATGAGACCTCAGGAACAAGCTGGCGGAGATCCACAATGTCTGGAGGCCTGACAACGTTAGCCACAGGGTGCTGGAGATGTGCACCACACAGCTGAAAATATACGCTGTAAGAAAATGTCCTTCATCCCTGAAACACAACATAGTGCAATGCATAATTCAAAGACAGGTAAAACACCTGTGAAAATGCAATACAGAAAATACCTTCATATTAGCACGGTACATTAGGTCCCATACATTAGGTCTGCTGGACGAGGGCATCAGTGGTTGCTTTTCCAAAGTCCAGTCCTTCAGTGGGAAAACACTACTGTTGTATACACCCGGGAGTCCACATGAACAGTAAATCAGAAACAAACCACCACAACAGCCTCTTCTTTCCTGTGAAGACAGCAGGTGGGAATCTTGATTGATTTCAATCCCATCGAGGGATTTTAAAATTTTCCAGCAGTAGAGAGGGGAGTGAGTCTTTTGCAATAAAACATGCAACAGACCCAGTGATTCAGCCTTTCCAAAGTAGGTGGACGTTTGCATGAGGGATCTCATGGAAGCAACACCAGCCATAGATTTTCTATTTCTGGGTCAAAACACACAATATAAGGTTAAAGTGTTTCTCTGGCACCTCCAAATTCAGTGTAAAAATGAATTTGAAAGCTGCAGTACAGTTAGCAGCTCTGATCTGATCTCTCAGTATCAGACGCACATCTGATGTCGCCTCTGTTCTGTGTAAATGAAATACTGCTTGAGAGCTGCTTTATACTTTGATGTTATCCTGACAACTAACTTGCGTCTTTTTTTCCTCGGCTGTCGAATCGTTGCAGTCTGGATCTGTTGTCCCATCCTAAAAAAAAAAGATTAAAGTCTTTCAATGCACAAAACAAACTGAGAAAATAGAAAAAAATTTGCCACTTCAGTTTTAATGCAGGACTACAGATGATCGAGAAGTGTTTAACGGGATTTCTCTCAGCGCTCCGGATGGATGGATGAACAGATGAAGAGTGAGCGGAGGTGAAGCGTGTTTGGCATTGCCCAGATGAAGAGGCTGTGATGGTCAGATTATAGAGGCAAACGTTTAGCTCTGTTCAGTAATGGCTGGGCTCAGGCAGAGCGCCAGTGTAAATGGGACATTAAGAAACATCAGTAAATGACACCCACAGACGGGATGGACTCGCTCCAGGTGCTGCCGTCTGATGCCAAACTTGCCGATAGCTGTAATATACAGAAATAAATGAAAGTGTCAGAAACACAGTCTGGTGACTGGAACGGAAAAGTTCATCTGAGAGAGTTCCTCATACTGTAGTTAGTACTGGATTCACACAGCAGGGTTGATTGATGATCAACATTTATGAAATTACTCCTTGAAGATCATGAGTGGAAATCTGAATTGAGCTGGGCACAACACTCAGGAGGTTGAATTCAGTTTAAAATGACACTGATTTACAATTCAGAGCAATTTCACTAGTTCATCACAAGTTTTGTGATACATTGCGTAACATATTTTCCATATTGGAATAAATAAACACAATTACACAATTAAGTGTCATTGTGTGTACACAATGATAATAAGATTTAAGATAATAAACAGGTAAGATTTAAAATGCTTTCTTCAGTAAGATCAGTAATTTTTTTAATATATTAATATTTTTATTCAGAAAGGATGCATTAAACTGATCAAAAGTGACAGTAAATGCATTTATAATGTTACAAAATATTTATATTTCGTTTTGAACTTTATATTCATCTGTGAATCCTGAAAAATAAAATGTATCACGGTTTTCATAAAACTATTGGGCAGCACAACTGTTTTCAACAAAATAACCAGAAGTATTTCTTGAGCAGCAAATCAGCATATTATAGGCTACTGATTTCTGAAGATCATGTGACACTGAAGACTGGAGTAATGATGCTGAAAATACAGCTGCGCATCACAGAAATCAATTAAATCAAACAAATGGAGCCCTGGTGTGCAGAAGAGACTTCATTAAAAAAAATCTCACTGATGTACGTATAGGCAAACTTATTTCTAGTTACAGCAGTTCTTCAGCAGTAATTCTGAAAGGTGCACAATCCCAGTTACACATACAGATGTGAAGAGGTCCTGCAGCTACTGAAATAAATGAAATGAAAGAATAATGACTTTTCCTTCACTGTAGAGGTTTGTGCACCTGTGTGTGTGTGTTTAAGTAACACACTTCCCATGGGTTAGCACTGCTTTAACAGTGTTTAATAGTGCATGCAGCCCAGTTTCACTCAACACTCTCTCTCTCTCTCTCTCTCTCTCTCTCTCTCTCTCTCTGCAGGAGCATGTGGAGGGACAGAACTGCGACCGCTGTAAACAGGGATTCTATAATCTCCGTGGAGACCGTCTCCGTGGATGCGAGAAGTGCTACTGTTCTGGTCTAGCCAGCCTGTGTACTGAATCCCACTGGGACTACAGTAATGTAGGAGACAAGCCGTTCGGAATCCCCCGGGGCCCACAGTAATGTAGGAGACAAGCCGTTTCATTACCAGTGTGTGTGTGTGTGTGTGTGTGTGTGAGAGAGAGAGAGAGAGAGAGAGAGAGAGGGGTCTCGTTTCTCATTAGTTACACTATCTTAAATCTTTTCTTGGCTAGTGGGATTCAGTCTTATTAAGCAGTAATGGCTGTTCTTACGCACACACGGATGATTCACATGGATATTTTCAAGTTTAATGAGTGAACAAAAGTTGCTGGTCGTCATGTTTAGAAGTGAACTGTCATGAGCGCAGTCTTTACATATACACACAAAGGGGACAGAAGTTAGGAAGGGTGAAAGGTTAATAGTGTATGAAGCCCTGGCATTTTTTGCATCAATTTGTGTGTGTGTGTGTGTGTGTGTGTGTGTGTGTGAGAGA